TGGTTCATCATCGGTACTTTCGTTTCTTCTGTACGTGAATGTTTAATTATAACGATTAAACGGGCCTTCTCTTTCCATTCAGACTCATCCTCAGCTGTAGATTTGTCAGTGCCCATCATACCAACTTTTGTTGCTGAATCTATCAGGATTTGATAACATTCACTCATTCATAACAACTCTATACATACTGTGATATATGTGTGTGGTGGAAAAGCGAGTATTACAATAGAGTTTTCTCTAGCAAATTGAACTACTCTTAGGTTTACATGTGAACAGTGGCAGCTGTGGTAATTTAAAATGGGTGTTCACCAGGACTACCGGAGAGACCCATGGGCTGGTAAGAAGTTCTATCACCCTGTCTTCCTTCATTTCCTGAATAACCCTTTCAGCTTCCTCTCTCTTGGCCTTTGGTAATTTTCGAGCTGATTGACGAATCGCCCTGGTGTCACCGGTGTCAATTTTGTTTCTTACAACAGAAGTTCTTTCTGGTTTTCCTCCTTATGGTACAAAAAGAAACGATACCGTCGAAGAAATTCCTTTATTTTCTTTTTCTCTAATTGATTCAGAGATTGACCAGCAACTGTAATCATTTGCTCGAATTTGTCGTTGGAATTATCATAAGTTGTTGTCTGACGAATTATGGAAGTTACTGGTACACAAGTTCCGATTCTGGTCTCTTTCTTGATGGTAATTGCGTGATCATTAACGTTTATAGGACGAACTGGAATCTCTTTAGCAGTCGTCACCAATCCCTTTCCAATCAGAATTTTTCGTCCAACCTCTTCATCGTAGTTCCAAGGTTCCATCATTTCAGGTGTTCCTTCTTCCATAGTTTCTTGAAGTCGTGCTATTATAACGGTTTCACTTCTGCCAGCCAGGTACCACCGTATCCTGTACAGCAACTGGCACGGTACTGTCCCCATATGGATGTAGGAATACCTGTTCGGCACCAACTTTGATCACTCTATTCTTAAAGTTTAACTGGAAACCATGTAAGTTCATTACATCTATTCCAAGTATAACATCTTCGATATCAGCGACAATAACAATATGAGTGAACTTTTCTGTACCAATTTCCAATTGAACTTGGATTTCCCCAAGTACGTTGGCACTTTCACCTGTGGCAGTCCACAGTCGCATCCTTATTGGTAGAAGCTTTTTACGGTTATTTATGGTTGTTGGTCGTATAATGGTCTTAGTTGCTCCAGTATCCACCAACAGTGTATACTTTTTACCATTTACTTCGCCGTCTACGTATACACAATCATCGCGACATTTCAAAGAGGCTATCAGTATAAGAGAGTCTTTAGAACGGTTTCGGTTGGAAGCTGCCCCTCTAGGTCGACCCGCTCTAGCTTTCCTGCGGCGTGTTGTCTTCATTTGTTGTGACCCTAGGGTGTTTGCACGAACTGCGTACATGTCCCAGTTCACCGCAATTTCAGCACCTGTTGATCTTTGTCTTCGTCTTTTTATCATTAGGGTTCTATATCATATTAACCAATTGGTCGAGTTAATCTACCCTTTCTTCCTCTTTTACAGTCCTCACTTTACTGTATCCATCAGAAACATGCGTAGCTGCCTCATACCACTTTTTGGTGGCGGGCTAAGCGGAGTGTTTTCTGCATCTCGTGGTCACGGAGTCCATCAACAAATGTTTGGACTGCCAAACATTCCATCATGTTTTCCAGAGCTGATGGGTAAGCAAATCGTACCAATCTATTAATATTTTCTTCATATTCTTGAGGAGTCTCTTCTCGTTTCTGTTTGCGATTCTTTAATTGTGATTGGTATAAATGCTCCAAGTGTTCGTGGCCATATCGCATGTTTCGTCTCTTTTTGAGTTGTTCAAAATCATCTGTCTCTACCACAGCTATTGTCTGACGAACACCTAAAGCGTCTCTTCAAAGGGCGATGGTCAAATTTACTGCCTTCTCTCGTTCAGATCATTCGTTTAAGGTAGTTGGTCCATGACATCTTTCCGTCGAAAGTTGGGGCCTTAATACAAGCAGATTTTACAGCTTCTTCCAATTTCAACTTTGACTCCACCTTATGGCACTTTATTTCACAGTCCTTGGCCTGTTCTGTATCATCCATTTTTTCTATCTTCTTTTCTCCTCAACGGAAGACATTATTTTCTCCTCAAAAGAAGAAATTTCATTTCTTATAAAAGATATTTTGTTTTCCAAGTCGGAAGAAATTTCATCTTTTAAAGAAGAGATTTCAGAAGAAACTTTAGTTTCTAAAGAAGAAATTTCGATTTTCACGGAAGATATATCAGAAGACACCTTTTATTCTAAGGAAGAAACTTTACTATCTAAAGAAGAAATATTAGGAGAAACTTTGCCATAGAGACGTGTTGCAAAAAAGTAGATATTAACACGTATAAAAATAAAATTATTAAACTTAAATTTATATTTTTATATTTTTTATGAAATTTAACTGGGTGTTCCCTGCACAAATGACCCAATGGAGAAGCCGGCCCTGCATGTGAACTATGATTGTTCATTATGGTTAATGCCGGATTTTCTTTGGAAGTTTCACATGCACTACAAAATGTTTCAGAGCATTAATGAATGCTTTCATCCATCCAGAAATTTTTGCTACTCTAAAAGCGCTAAAAGTTCCTCGTTCACCTCATATCACTTGTTCGATTTGTTTTGTTATTCTTTCAGCAGTAACTTTGAGAGGATTGGCTACAGTGCTGCAGCCTGTTTCATCTGCGTTAAATATCATGTGCAGCGGAAAATTATATCTTTTAAAAACATCAAACAAGTGTATCAAAAATCCTGATACGTTCATTTTATTAAAACTAGTTGCTCTGAAAAGTAAAGTACTTTCAGGTTTTCTAACTGCTAATTCTTTTTATCTGCTCATAAATCCTTTCAATCAATCATCGCTTGCACTTTGAAAGTCTTTCCATTCATTTGGTTTGTTGTTTTGTAAGCCCATAACACATTTTAGATTCAGTTTTTAAATAATCTGCTAGTAAACCATCTTGTTCCATAGTAAAAATACGCTTACTACCTATATTAGGATTATATTTGTAGAATAATTCGCCAGAAAATTTTACCTTCTTGACTATTTTAGCTAAGTAAGCTTCTGAAATATTATTATAGACTGGCTTTTCTCGATCACTTCACTAACAGCTTCTTCTGTTGTAGATGCTGTAGGTCGTTTACGCCTCTTTGGCCTTACATGTTTTCTGAAGTGAAAAAACGGTATACGAGTATTTCTACAAAAAACTAAATTTTTTTTTTAAAGTTTGAAGTGACACAAAAATGCCAAAAAATGCACCAATGGCTTAAAACTTTTTTTTTTAGTACTTTATTGTATCTAGAATACGACTACATTACGGAAAATTCTGCAAAAATATTTTATCTCTTTTTTTGACCACTGTTCATTGAGTGACGACCAAAAAACACGGTTTTTGAGAAAAGTTGTCTAAAATTTACTATTTTCAGTTTTTTGGTCTGAAAATTGAGCAAACCCAAATTTCATGTCTTCTGAATGTGTATACAAAGTTTAAAGTGTGTATGTTTCTTCTAAGTTGTAGAATTCTCCCGAGAAAAGTCCAGTTTTAAATTTCTTACCTACCTAAATTTATTAGGCTTAAAATTTTTTAAATTGTATTTTACTGACTTGTTATAAGACGTTTCTTGAGTTTTGTGTAGGAATAGAATTACCGCAAAATTAGCCGCACGTCCCATCAAGGATAGCCATGGTCTCGGCGTTCGCTATCCGACAAGTTTAAACTTCAAACGGTCATATTATTACAAATTGAATCGCTTGATAGTGTTCATCGACATAGATTTTTAATAACCGTGTTCAGCAAGCTCTGTGTACACGTGGTTTTTCGGACTTCTTTAGCAATTTATTAAATTAAGAAAATTCTATCACAGTGCTATATTTTTTTTGTTTCCAGGTTGCAATGGCTGGCCTGTGTTTATTATGGCGAAGTTAGTTTTTTCAAATATATTTTTTTGTTAGATGTTTTCGAAAAACCCAGAGAAAATCATATGGGAAAAAAATTTAAAAAACTACGCCTTCCGCTTTCCTGCGAATTCTCGAAAAATTATAGCAGATTTCGCCGCGGGACTTATTTTATTTGAGAGCCAACAAAAAAATACGCAACTTCTTTCATGGGCACATGTGTGTAACATTTATAATTTCGCCACAAATTCATCGCAAATTTCATGTCCATGGTTCTGATCAAAGAAACGAAAAAACCACTTTTTGGTAAAAGCACTTCTGGCGGCGAGAAATTCGCCATTAAAACTACCTGTGTAATGAATTTCCGAACTATTTTTGCCTCCTCTTTCGATTGGTGCATTTATTTTTACTATCAGAATGATACTTGCCCAGATAATTAGCACTTTTACCATGGAAAATTCCGGAAACCCCGGTTTTTCCTAATTTAAAAAAAATTGAACAACAGCTACATCTTTTTTTGCTTTTTTTCGGAAAGATCACATCAAAATACATAAGGTCCACTTTGTTTTATTCAATTACAAATTAATGTAAGCTCGAAGGGGCTTTTTTCCGTTATTTAATTGGACTAATTAAAAATATAGTATCTAGTAACTTACATAGCTGGTTTTTACATAATTATTTATATTAGTAAATTAAATAATTTACCTCGAACAAAACATAGTAACTCATATTAATAGTCAAATTACTTATTTTTTCAATTTTTTCTTTATTTATTTAAATTCTTTGTTAAAAATTATGTAGAAATGGCTTCATACTTTATCTAAATAACTTCTTGTAAAAAAAGGCTACGCAATTTTAGAAAACGCGCTTTACTGAAAAGCTACTAAATCATAGTTACTAGGTTTTGTCAAATTACGGCAGAGTTGTATGGTATGTCATCCCCTCTCGCTACTAACTGAATGGTTCGTTCATACTCCATACTCAACTGGAGCTGGAGTTCAACTAAACAAATTCTAATCTAAAATCCCTTTTTATAGCCTTCCACCTATCTTATCAACCGAAAAAATACTCTTTCTTGACAGAAATATTAATTGTTACTTATTAATAATAAGTGATTCAGCGCAAAGCACACAGGTCCGCCGAACCGCACACTGCCGTATTTTTAAATTACTTTAATTGATGACATTTGAGCGTCAGATTCGCCTTCTAGATAATTTATCATAACTACGCGCGAGGTAACAGGAGGCTGTGCAAAGAACGAATGTTTTTTCCGATCCATTAAAAACGAATTGTGTTTTTTAAAATTTAATTCCCGTAATGCGCCTTCCTAAAAACGTTTCGTAGTGATTTGTGTATAGTACTAGTAGAAGTTTTGAAGTCTCACGTGTTGTAGATATAATTACCAGGTGAGTCTAAATTGTATGTTATTACTTCTAGTACAAGGTGTGAATGATTATACAGGGAGAATCGGTATTATGTGTACAATTAGTGTATTTTAAGATGACGAATGATATTTTGTAGTGAAAGTTGACTCACTCAATGAACTTTTAAATGTTTGTCATTTAAAAACAATACAAGCTAGGTTCGAATTTTGCCTGGGGTACCTTTGGCCAAGCATTAATACAGTGTGAGGCAACTACCTGTACAGATTGATGAACTTTTAAAACTGGATGTTTTCAATATTAATTTATTTTGTGAAATTAATAATATCAAGAACCGTTTCCGAGAAACTTAATAAAAATAATAATTGTTGATTTCTGATTCTTTGTTTTACTGCCTTTATTGTTAAAAATCAAGAAATATTGAATGTCGAAGTCTTGTAAATTTTAAATCTAGTTTTTTTTTGTTGATGCATTGTTTATTATTTATATTATTTTATAATATATATTTTTTATACATTTTTATTATTATACTCGCAACTAGTGCGCAAAAACACTTTATACACATGTATCATACATTTAACCTATAATTACACTTAAAAAAAACGAATATTTGTACAAAAAACATTCTAATGCATATAATTTTGTAAAACCTATTATCCGATGGTTTTTGGTGTCGCTGAGTACGAATCCCGTGTAAAACATCCCAGCAAACATTTTGTGCATGGTAATAAAAGGCCCAATAACTGTTACCCTCCAATTATAATGATGGCCATTTAACTTTTAGAATTAAAAGGCCGGCATATATAAGTCACCACGGCCGACAGTCGGGCCGAAGTCACTAAGCCATTAAATACAGTTAATAGGTCTCCCTTTAATGTCTAGAAATAAATATATTGGCAATTAATGGCCTAATGATGGGAAGTTAACGGAACATTGGTGGCCTTTTAACATATTAATACTGACTGCTGAATAAAGGACATGTGTCAGGCACATGACCAGACAGAATATTCGATAGTGCCTCTTTGACCAGTAGTACTGTTTGAACTATAAATTCTATACAAATACAGAAGGCATTTCAATATAGAATATTGTAGACATTTTATTTGATTTAGCTTTATAATATAATAATATAATAATACAGAAAAAAAATTGTTCATAAAATATTCTAAATTAGCACATAAAAGTAAAAATTACAATGATTACTGAATAGTGAATAATAGCAATTGGAGACTGGCCTCATATTACGAGTACATGTCCACTCGATGAGTATGTAACAAGTGATCATCGGTGTCTCCATCTAGGAACGCGGGACGGAGCCCTCCTCGACTGTTGGAGTTGGGTCTGCGGCAGTTAAATGCCTTTTGACTTTTATCATGCTTTTACCCAATACAGTTACTTACCCTTTATAAGACCATCATCAAGCAACATAATGCTGGGCCACATCAAAAGGCCAAAAGTAGGCTTTTATCTTTTAATCGTCGCATTAATTTTCCCTTCAGTTATAGCAAAAGGCCAGCAATATCCCGGAAATTAATTGTTTGTTGGTCCTGTATCTTTAGAACAAAGCATTTCCGGACCCATGTTCATATGGACGTGTTTTCATAAAATTAACTCAGGAATTAGAGTTGCCACCTTTTCATTTTACAAAACCCGGAACTTTGTGAAATTTGTTGGGATATAAAATTCAAAAAGGCGGATCCAATGTGGTGGACGGAATTCTTAAAGTCAACCGGATTCGCTTGATACTTCCCACTCAGTGACGAATCCGATGTCAAAAACACAAGTTAAACTTAACACATTTAGACGACCTGAAGAAGTGTCTTCATGTGGTTGTATGTTTTCACAGACGATGCTATACAGTAGTTTGCAGTAGAATTGAAAATTATCTGAGACGCGAGGTTGGATTCGAAATCTTATATTTATCTTAACAATTCGGATATTTCTGTCAGCAACAGCTTAATTGAAAGAGCGGCTGTGCGTAGGACAGGCAGGGTCACCGAGAGCCACTTGGGATCCCGAAACAATTTTATAAAAAAAATTAAGCTCTTTCGATGTCACATTTCTAAAAAACAAAAAAAAGGTCGTCAAGCAAAAACTTAGAAACATCTAAAAAGAAACCAAAAAGTCCTCATCTTGTATTTTTCCATGTCCTTCCTTTTCTGGCGAATAAAACGTCCTCACCTAAAGCTGCTGGGCTGAGCTTAGGCTGGTGCCAGGCCTCCTTATGTGCCCGGGCCTCAGGAATTTGTCCCACCAGTCTCCCCTCTCGGCGGCCCTGAGGACAGGAGTAGGAGGGTTCAAAATACGGCGAGAAAATATTTTTTCATTTAATTTGTTTTGTCCTTATATTCATTATTTCGTAGGGGTAATATTGGAATTTGTTTGTATAGGTAGCAATCAGAATCATAATCTGAATATGGAAAAATAATTTATTTTAAAAAGTCCAAAGTAAAAACAATATCGATAATAAAATATAATGTTAGTCTTAGTGGCTCGTCTCCGTCATGTCTTCATTTTTCTATCGTCGTCAAAAATAATAATAATTTTTTTGTTTCTTCATTAATTGATTACCCAGGTTCCAATAGGTAGGACGTTAGTGCGTACGGCCATCGACCATGATCATAGTGTGTATGATGTTATTATAACGTTGCTTTCTGACATTGACACTTGACTAACCTCAAATAAAACTGACTAAGAAGCCTTAAATTAAAATGACGTAAAAGTCAAAACTAAAGATAAGACGGTAAGGCTATGTGGTGCTATGAGGTCGCCACAGTTTGGGGATTTATTCCCAAACTGATTTGGGCAAGAGACCCCTTTTCCAAAATGAACTGATACCTTTCAGACCCCTACAGACAAATTACTTTAAAAATCATATCCCTAATTTTTTCCTATTGATACAACATACTTACCAATTTAAATTCTTAGCGGTTTGTTAAGTAATTAATAATTATTATTACAAATTACGTAAGGGGTCGGTTTGGATCACAGGCACAAATGTTCAGTGAAACCATGCAGGTGAATATCCACAGGGGATGCCCACAGGGCATGCCCACAGGGTGTAGTCCTTTCTCCTCTACTGTGGAACCTAGTGGCAGATGAATTTCTGAAAACACTGAACAATCAAAGGCTGTACGCCCAAGGATATGCCGATAACATAATCATCCTTATCCGAGATAAACACCAAACCACAGTCTTTGAACTCATGCAAAGAGCTCTTAGGCTGACAGAAATGTGGTGCGTTAGGGAAAATCTCTTGGTAAACCCTGAAAGGCACAACTCATAGACTTTACTCGAAGAACAAGATTGGAGGTCTTAGAAACTCCGACTCTGTTTGGAGGAAGGCTAAACAAAACGAACCAAATAAAATATCTGGGTCTAATCATAGATAGCAAACTTACTTGGAACTAACACTTACAAAATGTGTCCAACAAATGTAAAATGTCTCTTATTGTAGGGAGACGGGCATTTGGAAAAACATGGGAATTAAAACCAAAAATGGTCCTCCCGCTGTATTTGACAATAACAAGACCCATGATAACTTATGGAGCGGTTGTTTGGTGGCCAAAAGTAAACCAGAAAACAGCCCTCAATATCCTCTCAGGAGTTCAGAGGCTAACATGCCTTTGTATTATAGGAGCACTGAGAAGTACACCGACAGCCTCTATGGATATTATTCTAAACCTCCCATTCCTTGACCTAGTCATAAAGGGGGAGACCAGAATAAGTGCATACAGACTGGAAATCTCCAACAACTTGCACCCACTATGACATATAAAACATACCATAAATAATTTTATATTAAACCTGCGAACATATCAAATGACACTCCTCCTAACCTTCAACAGACTCTTCCAGGCCAACTGTAACTTGCTTAGCGGTCTCGTATGGTATACGGATGGATCTAAAACTAACAAGGGAACAGGCTCTGGCGTACATGGAGTTAAACCCAAATGCGACATCATCGTCTCACTGGAAAAAGATACCACTGTATTTTAGGCTAAAATACATGCAATCGAATTATGTGTACGAGAGAATTTAAGAAGGAAGTACAAAAAACAAATCATCCTAATTCTCTCAGATAGCCAAGCAGCCTTAAAGGCTCTTGATTCAAACAGAATCAAGTCAAAGCTTGTCTGGAACTGCCTTGGAATACCAAATGATCTGGCAACCCACAAAAAGGTAAAAATAGCGTGGGTACTAGGGCACAAAGGTATCCAAGGAAATGTGTTGTCTTCACTTATTTAGTATATGTAAGTTTATATTGAATATTATCATCCAGTATGAAACGTAATATTTCACTTATATTTATTATTCTCATTACTTATACTTCGCCAAGACGGTATTACCCTAATTGGTAAAAGACCACATCGAAGAACGATTCTTAAATTCAACCGGGCGAACATCAGTATCGCCGCAAATTTCGTAGAATACAGTCGTGTATTCGAGCTTTGTGATATTTCGTAACAAACCCACAAATTACAATTTAAGATCACTCAAATACCAGCCCTGATGCAGTCCACGACCCCTGCAGCTTAGGGTGGACGCGCCAAGAAGAGAAGTCTGCGTCAGAAGGCCAAGGAAATTAAAGGTAGGACCTGATTGGCGAAGCTTTAAATTTTCTTACGCGCGTGACATACTGTTAACTTCACCATAACCTATTCAAAATGAAAAGGCTAGAACCGGAAAGAACGCCCCAGAAACACTTGATAGGGAACTTATAAAACTAACCAAAGACACAGGACTATTCCTAAATACGAGGAAAGCAGGGGATTACAATAGACCCAAAAGGTCGCAGTATTCTGGGCCAAACCTAACCTTACCTGCTTACAACCGACAAAGATAAAGATAGAAAGATCGACCACTTTTAGAATCCCTGATTTAAAATGTACTTTTGCCAACTGTCATTAAATTTGTTTCGTACATTTCTAAACAGCGCACAAAAATGTTATTTTTTAAGTAAACTTTGAACTTTTATTACGTACAAATGTTACATTATTTATTAATTGGGTCCAATCGACTTA